TATTAAGCCAGAAAAGGCATTGGCTTGATAAAAAGTTCAAATTCATTGTTTCGATTATAAACCAGTCTGGTATGTTGACATCATGGCTCCTATCATAGCTTCTGGGGCTGTCAGATTATGCCTAGGTCTGTTTTTATTTTTATTTTTTTCGCCCTGCCGCTCAATATATTTTCTGAAAAAATCCGAGAACCAACAAATCAAATTGGTGTGGCCTAAGCAGTAAAAACGTGATTTTGAGAAGAGAATGTTAGTTCTAATGGGGGACCCAAATATCCCGGGTTCCAAATTTCCCGGGATTTTTGGTCCCCCCTAATATGAAAGACACTAAAGTGATGAAATATGACAGCATGTTGAACCTTTTAACACGACTCAAAATGTTGTGTTGATGTCTCAAAATGTCAGGTAAGCAGTAAAAACGTGATTTTGAGAAGAGGATGTTAGTTCTAATGGGGGAACCCAAATATCCCGGGTTCCAAATTTCCCGGGATTTTTGGTCCCCCCTTATGAAAGACACTAAAGTGATGAAATATGACGGCATTTTGGATGAATGCTAATGAATCTACCAGCCAATCACCAGTCAGCATATATTTGACACTTCTTTAAAAGTTGGGATCCTATTCGAGTTACTTACTTGATTGTGTTCTCGTCTCTGTCTTCGTTCGTTTCAATCATCGACGCCATTATTGAGGTAAGGTAAACATAACCTAGATCGGTGAGGTATTGGTTAGGGTAAGGGTTAGGGCTTATGGTTGGGTTGGCTTTTTCCGTTAGGGTGAGGGTTAGGGTTGGTGCTAGTGTGAGGGTTAGGGTTAGGGTTAAGTTAGGGTTAGGGATATGTATGGTAAGGGTTAAGGGTAAGGATTAGGTTAGGTCAGGGTTTAGGGCTAGATTCAGGATTAAGGTGAGGGTTAAGGGTTAGGGTTTAGGATCAATGTTAATGTTAGGATACAGGATATGTATTGAGAAGTATATGTTCGGCTGCTTCGTGGATTTGCTTTGTTTTATATGTCTATTGAGGAAAGGTCCTGCTACTTTATTAAGCACAACTATAAAAGCATGAAATTCAGTATTATTCAGGAGTAATCCCAAGGCAACTTCGAATCGTCAGTATTTCTATACAAATCAGGGCGCATTGGAACAAATCTTATCTGTTATTGATAGTATGGGAAGCAAAGGATGTTGTGTTTTTGGTCTGCTGTTTTGGGTATTTTGGGCAATGAATTAAAACAGAACCCTTCCGCGGTAGGTTCTCTTTTTACCCGGACGTAAAGACTTGTACCTCCCTACTATTAGTCATAAATCACGCCCAGAGAGCCTATTTGGCTAACAAGTCTAAACTTTAGCCAAAAACAAAATACGGATTTGGTGCGCCAATGTGCCAACACCTGCACATTTGCCACTAAGAGCCGTTAATTTTCTAAAGGCGTCATGCGGTGTTTGTACTCCGATTTTTTTAGGTCTGTCAGGAAAACTGCCATAACTCATGGTGCATGGTCACAAATGGGTGAAACTTGGGATAGAAACAAAACACACCTTGCTGATTGTAAAAATATCAATTTTATGATTATTCTGTTTTCATGTAAGATATAATGCATATTTTTCTTACAAAAACGTAAATTTAGGAACTATTCCCGGCATCAGAGACATGTGCTTTTTGGAGGGAACATTCTTACATTTGTCCCCCTTTAAAAACTGTTCTGATATATAAAAAAGGCCTATGAATATTCAAGATATTTAAACTAAGGGCAAACTTCAAGTCATGACAACAATAACATTCTTGAATTATCAAAAACTTTGAGAAAGGAGCTTCTTGTTTTTCTTGGGATGCTTCAGAAAAACATAAGAATTTTGACTTAAAACATAAGACTTTTCTTGAGATATGTTGCATAGAAAAGCAAAAATATTCAAGATATTTAAACTAAAGGGCAAAATTCAAGTCATGACAAGAATAACATTCTTGAATTTTCTTGTTTTTTTTTTTATCAAGAAACTTTGAGAAATGAAATTCTTGTTTTTCTTGAGATGTTTCAGAAAAAAAGAGAATTTTGTTATTGCTCTTCTTGAGATATAGTGCTTAGAAAAACAAGAATATTCAATTATAATAAGAAATCTTTCATCAGTGACAATTTTGAGGGTTAAGGTACAAACCTCCAAATTTTCGATGGCTTGGTCACGGAGCTCATTTTATTCTCAAACGGATGAGCTTTGGTAAGGGCAAGTACATGTAGCTACAAATGTAAGATGATGCAATGCCCTTTCTTCAATGGATTTTACAAGGGTTGATATTGAAGGGAGCTTTGCAATAATATGAAATGTAAACACGTCCGTATACAAGAAGGGACCTCGGGCAAAATGTTGGGTTCGTCCAACGGCACGGCGGACGCGCCACAGCACACATTTTTAACCAAGAACGCGGGGTCTTCAGACTCTATTTGTCTTAAACAAGCGTGTTGGGTTCCTTTCCGTGCAAAGTTTTGATGCTCGATGTTAGCCCGAAGCTCTGTCAGACACATGACTGTCACGATCCAAAATGAAATCAAATTTCGTTACCGCTACACTAACAAACAGTGAATAAAGATAGCTCGCTACACCTGACGTGTAATTAAAAGTCATGCAAATCGTTTAGGAACCCGAGGTAATGCATCAGTGAAGTTTGCAGTAAGCTTGCAATGTTCGATTAAATTTTGTCGGCCAAGAAAGAAAAAACCCAGAAGAATGTAAAAAAAAGAAATTCTTAGTAATAGACGCCCTCACAGCAGGTGGCTTTACATTGCCTACACCAAAGCATTTATTTTGATCAAATGTCTAATCATACACTCTGATACACTCTCACCATATCTTCTCTATCTGAGCATGGTGATGACACAGACAAACCGACATTTGAAAATATGCAGTCTTTTTATTATATGATGCATGTATATGTCAGGAGTCACCAATGTATAAATATTCATTGTAAATATACAATGTATATGTCTATATTACAACTGAAAACTGTGTCAAACTACGCTCTGCTTTAATAAACAAAAAAAAAGTGGTGGAGTTACAAATTACCAAGGAGGTTTTATTCAGACTTCAAAGGTGCAGACTTGTCCAGAGGAAGCAGAGCTTTTCCTATGTACACATAGGATTTGTACACATGAATAAAATTTTTCATATACATTGAATCATGTGGCTGCCCATCTCCGTCCGGTTTATACAAGTTGCACACTATGTCTAGACATTTACAAATGTGGTACTTTGTGTATACCACATATGACAAACATGACGCCTAGAGTATGGTTGGGACAAGGTGCATGCATGTACATTGTGTAGCCAACATTACCCAATTACCTTTACACAGTGATATTGCACATGTTAATGCACCAGAAACCTCCTCTCTATAGGGGAGACATTACTGAAAGGGTTCTCCATTGAAACATATGCTAAATCAGACATGAAAATGGGCATCATATCTCTAGTTTACGAAGTTTTTGTCACACAAACTCACCTTCACGTGTTGGCCAATTTAATAATATGTACCTACAACAAGTTTCGGAAAAAAGTGGTCGGCTATTCTCGAGGTACAGCCTTGTTTATAAGAATTCGTGCACTTTGACCCCATATTCTAGGTCGATACCAAGGCAGGAGGCAGGAGGGGTGTATGGCAACAGACAAGCCCATAACAAGGCAATTTCATGGAAAAACTTCATTTTTTTTGCAAAAACATTCACTCAAAACCCTACACTGTACAACCCACCACAAAAATGCCAAGAATTCAACAAAAATCCCACCCAAGAAAGGGTTTTAAAGTTCTTTAGCTCATTTTAATTTTGAGGTCTCTCACCCAGCAACTTGTGCGCATGCCCTTCAACCCGCGTCACCCCTATATAAGAGTAAATAGATACTTGACGATATTACTTATTTAGGAATCTTACGGGTAATCAATTAACCAAGTAACTGGTTTCAAAGCTAGAATACCCCTAAGAGCATTCTTATCATAAGCTTAAGAAATGACATTTATCTACTATGATACACTAGTTACATACAGCATCATGCATAGGAGTAATATAGGTAGTGCACAATATTTTTCCATAAAACCAAGGTTAAACCTTGAATGGACATAGAAAAAATGATACCTAACTCTAACTCTACCAAATACTCTTCTGAAGAGGAACTAAAAGTTAAATCTTAACATAAAATGCTAAAGCACTGAGAACTTCTTAGAAAACATTTTGTACTACCCAAATACTCTACAAGAGGAACTAGCAGGTAAATCAACTGTTAGCACTGCAAGGTTACCAAGAAAACGTCTGTACTAGCCAAATGCTCTTCTGAAGAGGAACTAAAAGTTAAATTTTAACATAAAGTGCTAAAGCACTGAGAACTTCTTAGAAAACATTTTGTGCTACCGAAATACTCCACAAGAGGTAAATCTTACATCAACTGATAGCACTGTGAGTGTGAGGTTTCTACGAAAATGTTTATACTACTGAAGTACTGTTTTTTCAGGAGGATCTCCAGAGCCATTTGCATTCGCCAGCACTTCATGTCAGTCTGGGGGTAAAAATAATAACATATTAGTCTTCTGTATACATATTTCATGAATGTCAAGTTTTACATCTGGATGACCTGAACTACATAGTACATTTATGTTTGCAAAAGAAAAATCCCGAAAGGCAGCGGCGTGGAGAGCTTGCAACAAGTTGGACAAGATCTGGAAGTCGGACTTGTCAAGGAAGCTCAAAACACGCCTCTTTCTCTCAACGGTGGAGTCAGTACTCTTGTACGGCTGCGAAGCTTGGACGGTCACTCCCAAGTTGGAGAAACAGCTGGACGGCTGCTACACGAGGATGTTAAGGCGAGTCTACAATGTAAGATGGGAACAACACTGCACAAACAAGGAGCTGTATGCTGGACTCCCACAACTGTCGGCAAAGATACGAGCCAGACGTCTAAGGTTTGCCGGGCACTCTCTGAGAAACAGCAAGGAGATTGTCTCCAACCTGCTCTATGGTCTCCAGCACATGGGAGAAGGAAGCCTGGAAGACCGCCCCTCACCTACTTAGATGTGCTGCAGAGAGACACTGGTCTACAGGCTGATGGCATGGGGAAGGCTATGCAGGACAGGAGCTTCTGGGCTGCCATGGTGGTTCGGGTGGCAGATGAGGACTGGTACCCGACATAAGTCAAGTAAGTCAAGAAGAGTTCCGGAGTAAAGAATGGGACCATAATACTATTTCTCATATCCGGTTTTTCAGTATTTTGGACTCGTCTGAGGCAGAACACGTTCCAAATATTTCATGTTTTCTGACCGCGTTCGGACCTATTATGGCCCAGAAAGGTCGCATACGCAGTTTATTTACGGAGTCAAGAATGGGACCAGAATACTATTTCTCATATCCATATATGAAACGTTTTCAGGTTCTTTAAGACCAAAGACGCTCCTAATATTAAATGTTTTCCGAGCACGCGGAGCTATTACACCCCAGAAATGTTGCATATACTAAGGATATTCGGAAAGGAATAATTATGACACACCAAAGACAAATTGAGAAGAGCAACAGAGCTTGACAAAACATGAGCTAAGTCCATAAAAATCAATATGAACAACATATTAAGCTTTGGTGTCATCGTTCCTAGTATTACGACATGTCCTCTACCTACAAATTACTTGTACTCAGGACCTTTCACTTAAAAAATAATCACATTCCTGCCCCTAAAAAAACCCTGCCCTACTGTCCTATCCTATGCGTAACACATTCTAAAATCTATCACTATCCAGACAAGTAGGTTAAAAATCTGATTTCAACCTCTTTGGTCCAACATTCTCTGAAAAACAATCGCTGCACTTAATAGTCAAGTCATTTGTGCATTTTCCTCTGAGCCGGACTTATTTGTCTGTCTGTTTGGTAGTACACTGCATTTGTCATGTTGTCCTTCATTTGTCCTGCTTAAACATGACATTTCAGCTTGAGTGCGCTTATGAATTTATTAGATGTCTCCTATGAAAGACTCCCATGATTGAAAAACTAACAGTAACTTCGCATTAGTACCATGTACCAGACTAGTCAGTAGCCTAGATTCTAGACTGTTGGCAGGCCTCAGTCAGTATACAAACATGGCCCAATACCATTTTACCACTAACACATTTACTCTGTGAAACGCACTGTATTTTTTTCCAGCAAGTCTGGCAAAGGATAGTGGCAATTTGCGGTAATTTAAATTTGTCTTTGAAGTGAATACGCTGATTATTTAACAAACAACTATCACTGTATCAGTGTAAAGCAAAACAAGTCCAAGGGAAACGGCGCCATGTGTTGCCCCCTGGTGCTTTTGCATATGGGGACAACATGCGAACTTACCAAGAAATTTTTGGTCAGTCCATAATCATAGTCCATAATCACAGTCTGTTTTCGTTACTGTAGTTTTACAAGTCCAGTTTCACGGATGGCTTCACAGATCTCCCGGAGCGGGTGGTGTACTGCTCAGGTGTTGGCTCAGCTGTTGGTGTAGTTGTTCTCATGCTGGACGTCATCGTCGTGTCGGGCTCTGATGTTGATCTACCGCTACTGGTGCTTGTCTTCAGGAGATGCCTGGTGTTGCGCCTGTACTGTGCACCTTCAGGCGTCTCCATGACGTACGATCTGAGCTGGTCGGATTTGCGGTTCTTTAGCGTTGGCAGCTCGGTGCTCTTGGCACGTTGCACATCCTTAGATCTTATCGTCGAACTGTGCGTTCAGGCCTGGCCAAAAGAGAATATCTCTGGCCCTAACCTTTGTCTTCTCTTGGCCCAGATGGCCTTCGTGCAGGATATCCAGAATCTCTTCTCGCATAGACTTTGGAATCAGGATCTTCTGCCCTTTACGTCATCATGGGCTGTCAGTTCGTCCCGATGGTGCCCTTGAGAGCGACTAACTGCGAGTCTTCTCTGGTTTCTCGGCGGACTTCTTCCATCCTCCGTGAGGACACAGGCAGGTTGCTTGTCACCATGTGCACTTGTGCCTTTAATGTTTCGGACATGTCATCTGTCTCCTCCAGGTACCGTCTGCTCATAGCGGCGGCCACTGGTATTTCCTTGCCAGGTCTGTGCTGCACTAACAGGTCGTACTTCTGCAACCTTAGTAGCATTCGTTGCAGTCTTGCCGGCGCTGAGCTTCGTGGTTTCCTGGTGATTGGTTCTAGTGGCTTGACAAGTTGTGGTCGGACTCTACCGTGACGCTTCGGCCATACACGTATTGGTGGAATCTCTCACATCCAAACACGATTGCGTAGAGTTCTTTCTCGATTTGAGCATAGTTGACTCGGTTGTATTCAACGATTTTGATGCGTACGCGACTGGTCGTCCTTTTTGCATCAATACGGCACCCAGTCCGTACTTGGACGCATCTACTTGCAGGGTTGCTTCTTTGTGTGGGTCATAGTACGACAGTGTCGATGCTTCAGCCACGACTTTCTTCATGTCGGCGAAGGCTTGTTTCCTCTTGTCATCCCACACAAACTCTATGTCTTCTCGGAGAAGCTCTCGCAGTGGCGCTGTAATCTCTGACAGGTTCGGCTCGTGGGGTCCTCGAGTCAGTTCCGGGCACCCTTCGGAAAAAATCGATGCTTTGCATTATTCCGCGTTTCTCCATATAAGGGCATTCCCGCGACAGCCGAGTCGAACCGAAACTCTTCGTCGGCAGCATCACCAAATATGGTGCGTCGCTGAGCCCCGACGATTTGTGACGTTGCAGCCTCTCCCATTCCTTTGACCATATTTGGTAAGGTTCGGTTCCGGTGCCGACCCCAGGAGACAAAGGGGCCTGTCAAAGTGGCCCGCCTAAAGTCAATAAATAATTGTAGGGTGGTCTGCGAATCAGGTGACCAAATATCAAAAGAAAATGCTTTAAAACTAGATTTTTTCGCCAAAAAACTGGCATTTGGTCTCAAGCACTTGTTTTATTTTCGTTCTTCCGCATCGGAAGCTCGCATTGAAGCGTCATCGTCATATATGGCGAGCGCTATCAATTTTCATTGAGCCAATTTGTAATCTTTCATTTATACAGACGTCATCTGTCGTCACTAGGACAACACGGAACCGACGGCCGCTGATTGGTCTCCGAATTTTCCCGACGTCACACGAATCCAGAATATAAGGAAAACGCCTACCTCCTCGGCTGCACTCAGTCGCCTCTCCGAACGAAGCCGAACATTACTCGTGTATCTCCGCAAACCGCACCGATCACTCACGAGCGCGCCCCGAGTTCTGCCGCTTCGGGTTGGGGACGACCGAAAACAGCCGGACTCAGCTCCGCTCACAAGCGAACTCCTAGGTACTTGCAGAACGAACAGATGTCTCGAATGATGGATGCACTTGACACTTTGTCACAAGTAGCTACGCAGCTCAAGCTATCAGAAGCAGCTACGTCGTCTCTGCTCTGTTTCGATACCAGTATAATATTTCAGGTCCTTATCGTCTATATATCTTACTATAGAGAGAGATCCAAACAGTTCGATTGCTTCTGCTGAGCCGGGTTTATTGATCCGTATGTTAACTCTAATACAGGTAGATGTGGTCTAATGGTTACAAAGGAGTTTAGCACTAGTTACGTTCCAATGGTCTAGAATTACACAGATGAGGTGCTACAGTTATACAATCTACTTATCTACAGAGCTACAACTAAACATGTACACATACCTCAGATCCAGGTCTCGAACTGACTAATACAGCGATTGTCTCTCCCAAGCTCAACTCTGTTCACAATAGTCCCTAACCTGATTGGTTGCTCTCACCAACCAATCAGGGCCTACCTAACGCGCAAATATATGCATAATCTCTATAACTAGTCTTTCCACATGGTCATTTACATATTGCCCTAATTATACAAATCATAATAAGTCATAACCGTTACACCAGCTTTTTCAATAACCCAGCTCCTCCGCTGCCTGCAAACCTGAGGCCCGAGGACCTGAATGTTCACACCACGGTGCCCAGCGCTACCAGCGCCGACAGCATCTACACTCAGGGAGAGCCCGTGTCGGAATTTAGCGACCAGTCTTCGGATTCACTCGGTAAGTTCTGTTTTCCATTATGTCCGCGGAATGATAAACTGTTTTTGCAATGTTTACATCGTCGATGACTATGTCAAAAGCCAAAGCTGTGCTGTAGTTTTGTATGAGTGGTAGGTTGAGTAGGCGTGTGAGCGGGCGTGGGGGAATTACGAAGTTTGCCCAGAACCTCCGAAGATTCGTGAGTGTCAGGAGTGGTACAGGCGAACGTGCGCGGAAAAAAGTTGTTAAAAATTCTCGAAAGCGAAAAACAAGTCGGTATGTTGTTGCCATCGTTTAACATGCTTGGTGCGACCGGCGCTCGGCGTTATGCCAAGTGGTCTCTATCGATCGTAGCCTCCGCCCCCTATAGCGATTTAGAAATTAAAAAATCAAATTACTCCCATTCATAATTCGCCAATGTGCGTAAGTCAGGCCTGACCCGCAGTAGTGCGGGGTAGTGTGGGCGGGATTTCGCGTGGCCTAGGACTACATTTACACCCAACCACGCATTTTTCTGACATTGTCTCCGCTTCTTCATTGCTTTAACGCAGAATTCATCATCGCCCCCGTGGCCGACTTCTGCAAACGCGAGGGCGAGGCCTCCTCCTACCCGGACACGAGTAAAGCCGGGAACCGCATCGTGTACCGCGGTAGTGTCACCACGGCGGGAGCGGGCAGCGGAGACACAGAGCACACCGCTTCCCTGCTGACCTCGCTCAACACCAACATCCAGAACGCCCTGAGCATGACCCAGCAGAGCCAGCCCGAGCCGCTACCGCCAGTCTGCACCAGCCCCCTCGCCTCCCAAGCCGAGTCCGTCTCCGGCTCGCACTCGACGTGTCTCACCCCGGAGCCCGACTCCACCACCACCGCCTACACCTACCTGGCCGACACCAAGACCTACATGGGCGCGCCTATGGACATGAGAAGCGGACCTTGCCTGCCCATCTTCAGCCAGCCCGAGCCCCAGCGCAGCCTGCCCATCAACGGTAATGTCAAGTACCAGTGGCCAGTCATCCCGGACTTCCCCTTCCAGCAACAGAACCAAGTGGACAAAGCGACGCCGCCGCCTCCGTACGGGGCCGAGCACATGTTCCTGCAGAGCGGGCCGCTCCCAGACTTCGTCACCCTGACACAGAAACTCATCAGTCAGCCCTACAGAATGAGCCCCAGCCCCAGCAAGGCTGCGCCGGACACCGTCATGAACAAGCAACAGGCTCGCAAATATCCCGACAGAAACAGCAAGACGCCCCCACATGAGCGGCCGAACGCCTGTCCCGTCGACACCTGCGACCGGCGGTTCTCTCGCTCGGACAAACTGACGCGGCACATCAGAATCCACACGGGGCAGAAGCCCTTCCAGTGCCGCATCTGCATGCGCAACTTCAGTCGGTCCGACCACCTGAACAAACACATCAAAACCCACACGGGCGAAAAGCCGTTTCAGTGTGACACCTGCGACCGGCGGTTCTCTCGCTCGGACGAACTGACGCGGCACATCAGAATCCACACGGGGCAGAAGCCCTTCCAGTGCCGCATCTGCATGCGCAACTTCAGTCGGTCCGACCACCTGACCACACACATCAAAACCCACACGGGCGAAAAGCCGTTTCAGTGTGACACTTGTGGCCGGAAGTTCGCGCGCTCGGACGGCAGGAAGAGACACACCAAGATTCACCTGCGGCAGAAGGGAAAGAAGGACTGCAAGACGCTGGCGTCTTCCTCCGACTCCCCGTCCACCGTCTCTGCCCCTCCCCACTCCAGCTTGCTAACTCTGCCGGTCAGCACCGTCACGACGTCGGCCTCTTAATCACAACAACAAACCGAAAACGTCGCTACAGACTGAAGAACGTTGAACTCTCATCTCATCCGCACTGTGTCTGAACTTTAGTCTCTGTGTTCCGAAGGGCTAGTCCTCCTTACTGTGTGACGTCTTTTGGGTTCACGGTTCGTTTTACGTTTCCATGTGGTAAAACGGTGGTACTGTTTTCTCCAGACTTGTCGGATTGATAACTAGATTGACACCTGTAAGCCACAGACCTGAAGACCCGTGTTGCCAAAGAAAGACAGTCGGTAAGAAACGCAACTATGCCAAGTTTCTCGACAAAGCTTCTAGCTCGCTCATATTCCGTTGGTTTTTGAATCTTGTATTTTCTGTTGTTGTAGTACGTAAGGCACGATTAGACTAACGGTCCGGATAGGCGCCGGACCTTTATAACGTTGTAAAACGCTGTACTAGTCGGTATTGAGGTGTGTTGCAAGCTATTTCGTCGCTCGCCGTAGTCGCAGTACTAAGTACGTTATTGCGTAGAGAATTATGTAGCTTCAGGTAGTATCGGAAAGACTAAAACTCAAGACTGATACTTGTATTGCTGTGCCATGTATCCACGCGGGAGGGGGCAGTGTTTTCTCTGTTTTGATACACCGTGTAGTGTTCTAGTACGCCAGCCCTCCTCTGTATCAGTGTGTCCGTGCAGTGACGTTAGGTTTTCTACATTTTTGTGTCAAGTCGTTTGAACGTAGACGCAGCGGGGAAGTGCTTGGAGCGGGACTTGTAGCTCCTCCGAGGCCGGCGGACCACTTTCCGCAGATAAATGCTTGACTATAGACTGTAACGTATCCACAGCTGCCATATTATTTTACCCATCTTTTCATGCGCACCGAATGTAAGCATGATATACAAATAGGCATGTATCTCAACTCAAGGGAATTTATTCTGAATAACTATATCGACAAAAGAAAAAAAACAAAAAGAAGACATGTTACGGATATTTTCTTGACATGTTACGGATATTTTCTGTCTCCGACTTGTATTTTCTGTTGAGTTGTACCTACGCTATTCTTACTGATCATAGCGTGGAACAAGGCGGGGGTGTTGCGGGGGAGGTAATCAGGGGGGAGCGCCGTTTTTTTAGGAAGGGGGTGTTGAATTAAGATAAAACGTGTCAAGGAAGGGTTGCTATGTGGTTTATACTCTCTATATGAGACCTCGATGAGTTTCAGAACTACAAGGTAAGGGAGATAGACTATCATAAAGTACATACAGTAAGTGTTACATGATTAAGTAACACATCAACGCGCCAAGAAAGCCACGAGGAGGAGGTATTGGCGGTAAGCAGATTCCTTAACCCTCCAGGGATAGCTGTGCCAGCCAGAGTTGACAGGTCAAGGCAAGAGCTTGTTAGCAGACCAGATGTGACCCCTGGTCATCCAATTAGCATGAAACTGACAAACGTAAACAAACATGGCCGCCCGGTACCACCAGGAAACCTAAGAGAGGGAGAAAAACACCGTAAAACCAACAGAAAAGTGCAGACTAAGAGCCAAATCTGCTGTATACTGGGTAGGGATGTATAAAGCAATTGAGAAGATGGTTGCAGCATGTCCTACATGCCAGAAGTACAGAAATTCCCAACAAAAAGAGGAAATGTGCAACAGAAGTCCCAAGCAGACCATGGCAAACAGTGGGAGTAGACCTCTTCACAATAGACCAACAATGGTTCCTGTTGGTAGTATGCTACTACTCCAAGTTCCCATTTGTGAAGAACGTGCCAAACCTCAAGGCGTCGACCATAGCATCGATCACTCGAGCCCTGTTCGCAGAGCAAGGAATACCCGAAGAGATCATCTGTGACAACGGTACACAATTCACGTCGGAAGAATTCACGAAGCTAGCACATGAGTATGGATTCAAGATTACGACATCCTCACCACACTACCCCAAGGGTCATGGATTCGTAGAACGACATGTGCAAACAGTGAAGAAGACACTGATCAAGTGCAAGGAGTCAAGGTCAGATCCAAACCTAGCACTTCTGTCCCTAAGAGCAACACCACTGAAAAGTGACATGAAGTCACCTGCAGAGTTGCTGAATGGTAGAGAATACAAGACCACTCTACCAACAAAGATCCATCCTCCTATCGACCAATAAGAAACAAGAGCGAAGTTAACAGATGCTCAGCAGATAGGACAGAAACACTACAACAAACATGCGCACAACCTACCTGAGCTGTTCAGAGGCCAAAGTGTACATGTACAAGATCCAAGGAACAAATCTTGGAGCCCGGGGAAGATCCTTTAGCAGAGCAGAGACTCCCAGATCATACACCATAGAGACGGAGACTGGAAGTCAACTGAGAAGGAACAGAATCCACATCATGCCAACACCTGAAATCCCGGCGACAACACAGGCAGCTACAACAACACCTGCAACAACAACACCGCCGACAGCGGACAGCAACACAACTGCACAATCACCAACGACTACCGGCACACCAATATCGCCGACGACATCACCCACTACAACGCAATGTGCAACCAAATCGACAAGAAGCCGGAGTAGCATCTTACCGCCCAAGCGTTATCGCTAACGGACTGAACGAAACGGACTGAGACACCCACCCTCGCTCTGTGTGTGTCGATAGCTGTAGAACTCTTAGAATTAGTGAAAACCTTTCATAACTAATATTAGATATGTTATAGATCCATAGAAAGACCAAATGTCCCACCACAAGTGCGAAATTGAAGCAGAGCAGAACTGAAAATAAGAATAACGGACAATCAAGGACACTTTACAAGCACAGAAACCAAGCTTAGCAGACAGCCATATAAATGGTCACTAAGATGTTACGAATAGAATAGACAGAAAGCAATAGAAAAGAGAGCTTGACCACACCTATGAAAATGGACAATCTATACAATCAGAGGACAATATTTTTTATGAACACTGGCAAGACCAATATCTCTAGAGATCTATTTAAAATTAAGAAGTACGAAGTCTAAGAAGAGATTCATCTTTTTATTAGAAAGAGGGATGTTACATGATTAAGTAACACATCATCAGGTAATGGAGCTATCACCAGTGGGGCCTTGCCCACACCGTATAGCACCGAAGCACACTGCTATGTATATCACTCCGCAGCAGTCTGGAATAAGTGTCAATTTCCACAAAGCAGCCACGATGAACAGCCACGCTTCTATTGGTCAGGACGCTAGTGTACGTATGTATGCTTTTGCAATAGCGCAGTTTCGCCAGTGTGGGGAGGGCTACCGGCGTTTTCCTCGATTTTAGGTGCAAAAAACGTCAAATTTTATATTCACTGCATTTGTGTGGTTCTAAGCTTTGGGGACCAGGAAAGTTACCGCACAGATAATAGTTGAGTGGATTTTAGCTCTGGGGACGAGGTAACACACAGGTAATAACGTTAACGTTACTTTTATATCTGGCTCTTTATTCATTTTACTATTTTTCTGGAGACCAGGTAACAGTCCATATATTCTGTGCGGCTCTTACCTCTGGGGAACAGATAAGTCATCATACAGGTAATATTTGCGTGGCTCTTAGGTATGGGGACCAGATAACACTCAGTAAGTTGTAGTTGATATCTGTTACAGTGTGGATTTAGCTCTGGGAACGAGGTGATGTACCGTACAGGTTATGATTGTGGGGCTCTTAGGTCTGGGGACCAGGTAAGGCAGCGTACAGGTAATATATGCGCGGCTCTTAGGTCTGGGGACCAGGTATGGCAGCATACAGGTAATATATGTGCGGCTCTTAGGTGTGGGGAACAGGTAAGGCACTGTACAGGTAATATATGCATGGCTCTTAGGTCTGGGGACCAGGTAACACTCATACAGATAATATATGCACGGCTCTTAGGTCTGGGGAACAGATAACACTCCGTACAGGTAATATATGTGTGGCTCTTAGGTCTGGGGACCAGGTAATACAGCGTACAGGTAATATACGTGCGGCTTTTAGGTCTGGAGACCAGGTATGGCAATGTACAGGTAATATATGCGCGGCTCTTAGGTCTGGGAACCAGGTAACACTCCGTACAGGTAATATATGCGCGGCTCTTAGCTCTGGGGACCAGGTAACACTCCATGCAGGTAATATATGCATGGCTATTAGGTCTGGGGACCAGGTAACACTCCGTACAGGTAATATATGCATGGCTCTTAGATCTGGGGACCAGGTAACACTTATACAGGTAATATATGCGTGGCTCTTAGGTCTGGGGACCAGGTAACACTCATACAGGTAATATATGCGCGGCTCTTAGCTCTGGGGACCAGGTAAGGCAGCGTACAGGTAATATATGCGCGGCTCTTAGGTCTTAGGACCAGGTAACACTTATACAGGTAATATATGCATGGCTCTTAGGTCTGGGGACCAGAAAACACTCTGTACAGGTAATATATACACGGCTCTTAGGTTCTGGAACCAGGTAACACTCCATACAGGTAATATATGCGCGGCTCTTAGGTCTGGGGACCAGGTATGGCAGCGTACAGGTAATGTATGCGTGGCTCTGAGGTCTGGAGACCGGGTATGGCAGCGTACAGGTAATGTATGCGCGGCACTTAGGTCTGGAGACCAGGTATGGCACTGTACAGGTAATATATGTGTGGCTCTTTGGTCTAGTGACCAGGTGAGGCACTGTACAGGTAATACATGTATATGCATGGCTCTTAGGTCTGGGGACCAGGTGAGGCACTGTACAGGTAATATATGCGTGGCTCTTAGGTCTGGAGACCAGGTATGGCACTGTAGAGGTAATATATGTGTGGCTCTTTGGTCTGGTGACCAGGTGAGGCACTGTACAGGTAATACATGTATATGCATGGCTCTTAGGTCTGGGGACCAGGTGAGGCACTGTACAGGTAATATATGCGTGGCTCTTAGGTCTGGTGACCAGGTTTGGCACCGTACAGGTAATATATCTGTATCTGTATCTGTATCTGTATAGCCGGTATAACCGCCTTTCGGCGTAACACACCAGCTTCGCAGGCACGCGGCGCGGCGG